AACATATTGTACAGATAGGATTACTATAACTATTATATATACAAGTATATATAGTTACTATACAAATTGACCGCTGAAAATCAAAATAAACATATTTTTGTACCCTTTTATGCTATAAGATATGTATTGTACCTATGAAGGGTATTATAGCTTCGATTTTTTCTTGATTAATATCAGTTGCTGGAGATATAATTTTACAGGGGAGCCGCTATTGTTCATAAAATAAACTAAAAGTATTTGATAAGATAAGGAACGCATTGGCGATAAGGGTAGTGATCGGTACGATGAGAACAAGACAGATTTTCGGCCAGTCTGATTCCACAAGGCCAATTAATACTAAGACAACTTTATGCAAGTACTCTTCAAAATATGGCTTCTGTAGGGTTCACCCTGTCTCCGATTCAGGCAAGAACAAGTTTTTAAACAAAAATTTCACCACACTTGACCACCATCAACGATGAGAAAGTTCGGCTAATAGCAGAAGAAGATTTGTTTTCCTAAGCATTAGTCGAAGCCATCATGTACGCAACACCACACTACCACATAGAGAGCGCTCTGCGAGGTATACACTTAAATACAGGCTATGATATCAAGGATGAGCAATTTGCGTCAAGTCTCGGTCGCACTTAAGGCATAAACAAAGTTTAGCAAACTATAAAACACCCTAAAAGATTTTAATATTTCATTAAATTCCAAAAGTGAAAAGTTTCTCTCGCACCGCCGCTCACCGCCGCTCGCCGCCCCATAACTGGCCACCTTAACGTCGTTATGTGAACGGAAGCGTTAAAAACGAGCCGTCGTCCAACGATGCGGCATAATGAAGCGCCTTTTCGGTTGGAAGGTGTGACTTTGCCCAGCAACCACTATCTGTGTGTGTGTGTGTGAGGTGAAGCTGTATTCCCTCGGTGGTTATACAAGAAAACTTTTCCTTGTGAACAATTTAATAAGGTTTTTAGGTTTGAATAAATTGTACAGTAGTTTCACTTTACACTGTGTAACAAAATTTTGTTATCGCCGGTAATTTTTCATGTCACGACGCCGACCAACCCCTGGCCCGTCGTCGCGCTCCCTACAACAGCATCCTTTGCACTTTACTGTTCTTGCCGCTGATGTGGATTTTATAAAGGTGCCAATGCCTCGGTCGTAAGTTGTGGCATATCGCTTGTGGTTCGGCTATTAATACTGTGTACTGTGTGCGAAACTCTCGTAGTTGCTTGCCAAGAATTAGTTTAAGTGGTTGCGTAAAGCTTCATTCTATTGCGCCGCGCACAGCTGGACGAAAGGGCTGGCCTGCAGATTGGCGAAATGTTTTGCCAAAAATGCATTAAAACTTTTCTGATGTTCTAGTGCCTCAAGTGGCAACACCAACAGCAGCAACAACTAGTAATGTAAAACCTGAAGGCCGAGTGATATCTTCCTGCCAATCAGCAACTATTTCCGAGCTTAATGCATGCATGTGGAGATACATCTAAAAGCATATAGTATATACTCATATATCTAAGTGATAAATTATATATCAATATGTAAACGAATATAGGTACGACACTTCCTACTCGATCAATAAGTCATCTGGATTGCGTTTAGTTACATTTTGCAAGAATAATTGAAAGCATAGTTGAATACTATACGTATACGTATATATATCATGTATATTGTCTGGACCATTAATAAACTTAAAAGCTTTCAGTTTTCGAAGCCTTAAGAATGTTTAAGATTCTACATCAAATACATTAATCTTTTTGTAGCACATCTCTACCTTGAAAACAAACATATATAACTTAAAAGCATTCGTTGCCCACGCCACACCCAAGCGATGCCAAGCAAATACCCAGGAAATTAAATTATAATTAAGAAATCATGGAATTGCTTCAAACTCTGAAATTTGTTGTTGGTTGTTGACCTTACCCATCAGCCATCTCACCGCCTCACTTTGCACACGAAATTTCACCCGCATTTCACGTTCCCTTGCTGCTTCACCATTTACCGTTTGCTGCCGGTAAAATATAAATATTTGTTAAACTTTGCCTCACCAATATCACAGAAATATTATGTTCGCTGTTTTTGTATTAAACAATCTTCAACGGCCTCTTTACAGCTTGGTCATCAGGGGGGCGATGACAAAGGTGTGAATGCTTGTTGATAGGAGCAACCATTAATTTTATGATTTCAGCATCAATAGCAAACAGCTTGTCACAAATATTCATTTTCATAATTATATAATTTTCTAAATATTACGTAATAGTGGGTAATTTCATATATAAGCATTTTGTGGTACATTCAAAGCAAGTTGATGACCTTGTAAAGTTCCGAGCAGAAAATTTATTAATCACTTAATAACAATAAAGACCCAATGCAATATTTCAAAAATTAAAAAATTTTATATTGTATGTATGGAAGTGAACCAGACTTCTAGATTTACAACTTTGAATGCAGTAAGAGTTGCTTTAATTCTTTAGAACTTAGAGGCTCCACTCACTCCAAACCACTATTACCAGTGAATGAGAATCGGGAAAATAGTTTAAAAGAAATCACTGAAATGCTAATGTTCAAAATACTACAGTTTGAAGAGCGAGTTATACTCCTAGCGTTACGAATGTCACATTGATATCATCTACTGATAAATTACCCTTTCTACTGCCAATTACTCACTCTCTCATTTTTTCTTTATCTACAAAGTGATTCTCTCTAATATGCTACTTCCTAATGTTATATCAACGTCGCGTTTTGGCCGCATCAACAATGTTTTCGGTAAATCTTTTCTTTAACTCCACTAGAAATAGCAGAATTTTGTCTAACTTATTGTTAACACAAAGCCATCCAAAAACAAAAATTATGGATTGTTTGTTCACTTAATGTTTTTGTATACTGTTCACTTAATGTTTCTGTATGTCTTTCTCGCTTCTTCGGTGCAAGAGTGTGGGTTCAAGAGGGCGCAAACGTTTTAAAGGGAGTTGCTCTCAAGCTGCTTTGCGGTCGAAGCGAAAATTGAACGATTATTGTGATGTATTTAAAGCGAAAGCAATTTTAGTTTGTTGTAAATGGCTGCACGAAGTGGAAAACAAAATGGAAGGTGTTTAAAAATAGCCTTTATTTAAGGTAAGGTACCCGGTAGGAAAACTTTGATTTGAGCAGAAATTGAAGTTTTCGATAAATAGTCACTCCATTTATTTTGTATTTGAAAAATAAGTTGTCAGAAGAGAGAAAATAGGGAAGAACTTAATAAATAAAATAAATTAGTGTTTATGGGCTTAATAAACGAATTCTTTCACAAAGCGGAACATTGAGCTGCACGCTGTTGCTAGGACAGCAATATCCGATTCACTTCCTGCCTTCCGATTTTCCTACATGGTCACCACAAGATATTTTGTATGCATTTGCTATCGCTTTACAGAAAACTTTGGCGAGTTCCTACTCCCAGGAACTGGTTAGCCCGTTGGTTTCACGCACGCTTATTGTACAATACTTTTGTGGCCGGAAATAGTACAACTTCGGCTTCCTGTTGGCTTTGATTTATCGCTCGGTGAGTTTTGCTTATACACCAAATAAAACAAACACACATACAACCAAATAAGCTGTACTGTTAGAAGCGAACACCCTGTATACTCTTACACAAACAGAGAGGCATGCATGAAATCCGCTTCGGATTTTGTTGATCGGAAGTTTGCTTTCAGCAACAAAAACTTCAAAAACGAATAGCCTGCAAATTTGTAAATGACCGTACGTGCCCGAGTGTGACCGCTTGTGTATGTGCCTGTGTCGGTGCTATTCTGTGGCGCGCTGACCGGAAACTTATTAGAAACTCGTTTGCTTAAATCAAAGCTAAAGTGTGCCACAAAATTCTGAATTGTGTATATAAATTTTGTTTTTTATCGTTATGTTTCAATACTTATATGTTTGTGTGTTTGGTTAAGGATTTGAATGGCTTCATTTCGCTTATTAGGTGACCGGTGCTGTGATTTATTTAAATGGACTTCCAATCCATTCAGAAATGTTGGTTTTTCGTATTTAATGGTGTCTTATAAATTGAAACTAAACATCTAAATGAAATTAAAAATTTGAGTAATATAAAGGTGTAAGAAGCAGAGCCATACCTTAGTTTTCAGGATTTTCGCAATGCAACACTCGCCGAGCGATTCCTTCTGTCCGCTTGTCAGTGTCAACATAGTTGAGAGTTTTTCCATATAAAAATTACGTAACTAGAGAGGCATATGTACATACACAAGCGAGAAAACGTGTTAACTTCGCTGCACCGAATCTATAATACCCTTTACAGGTTCATATTTTACTAACAAGAATTTGATTTTGATCGATAACTTATTTATATACACATTTTATAGGGTCTCCGATGTTCCTTCTGGGTGTTACAAGCTTCGTGGCAAACTTAATGTACATAAAATACATAAATGGTTGTTACAATAATAACCCAAACTGTCGAAGCCTCACGATACATCATCCAATTGTTCTGAATTTACATAACATACACTCAATTTATTGACCCTTACTGGTCCATGTGAAATTCCGTAACGGTAATAAACCTAACACGATCACAAAGTATGCGTAAAATGTTTGCATACTTTTAGACGTATTTTCGCATATTTCAAGCGGAACAAATCAATTGAAGAGACAGAGCGGGGTGATTCAAAAATAATAATATTTAAGATACAATTTTTTTAAGGTAAATAAAAATATGGAATTTAATAAAAATGTAATTAATAAAAAAAATTATTCAATATACAGAGTCATAATATTAGTAACATTACTTTTATTTTGGTAAATAGCTACCCCAACTTTTAAAACAGTATCTCGTTTGACTTGAACAATACAATTGAAATAAGGTATTTTAATCATATTATCAAGGGTAATAAATTTCTGCTTATCTTTGCTGGCCATTTCAACATCAACTTTGCTGATAAAAAATCAGAGCGGTTGACAACTTTTCTTTCGGTAAACTTTAATTTAAATATGAATAATGATCCACAATAATGCATAACAAAATATCGTTTGTTTTTATTTTTCTTATGTTCGTGTGAAGTTGGCTCTCCATAGGTAAATTTTTGTGTATTTGGCAGCTGTTTACTTATTGCCGATGGAGCTTTAATGTAAGTAGCGATAACTCAAACGAGTTTCGAGATATTCGTATAACAATAATAATATCCGGAAGAAACAAGCGTGCATACGCTTGGTTTATACACACACTACGAACGATTTATTCGAAAAGTGTTTGAACTTTGCAATTTAAGTAAAAACTGAAGGGAACAAATAAAAGAAAAAGCATAAATAAAAAATAGTGTGACTGAATTATAAATTTTAAGCAAAATTGTTCGTAAATTATCTAAGAAAATCAAGTAAAAATCACATACGAACTGAAAGCGTTCCATCTGCTGAGAGCTGCAAGCGAAAGCGGATAACAAGTTCAAGCCAAAAGGAATAGAAGAGAATGGATGATAAGAATACTAAAGAAGTTAACGACAACATTGGCACCACTCACGATGGTAAGAGGCAAAGGGAAGGTTGCGAAATGCACATAAAAACGACAGAAGCGCCTTAATGCAGCTTTCACCTCCCCATGCGCACCCATATAATTGCTTTTAAGCTGGTTCAAGGAAAACTCAATAAGAGTTGTGATGTTGACACACGTGTAAACGGCAGCATGAGATTCATGTTGCATGAGCGGAAAGCATTTATAATTACTTTAATTAGCTACAGCACATGTCGTTCAACAAAAATGACCCTCGAGTGCGACAAACGGACAGCAGGATTTTCAAATTTAATGCTTTTAATATAATATTCCTTCAGTTGGCTCACACACCGTTTCTCTTTCCTTCAGCGCCTGCGGATGCGAAGAAGCAGTTGAACCTACAAAGGCTACAAAAGCTCGCCGTGTTAGCGGCTGAGGCCGCTGCCAAATTTAAGACGGTGGTAGACACGAACAAGGACATTAAAACTACCTTGCCAACCACAACAACAACACCGATAGAGCTCGTCGCAATAGCCAAACAGACAACCTTAAATCTGCTCGGCCGCGAGTGTAGCGATAAACCGCTTAGCCAAAAGTCTGATGACTCTGACTGTACTCTACAGTCCGACCAATCCGAAAACAATGGATTGAAGGCGCTTGCCACACCAGCGACAGATGGGAAAACATTTGCCAGTAATCAGACTCTCGACCGCATACTGCTGGCGCACTCGGAGCAAACGATAACGACCGCGCATATTGAGCTCGACTGCAATTCGAGTCAGCGTACTGCACACGAGCTGGTGCTGCAGGCCGGTAGCGGCTGCATCAAGCAGATGAGCTTAACGGCGGTGCGAGATGCCCCCTTTATAGCAGGGGCGGCAGGTAGCGAGTCAGCAGCGGTTGGTCTAAGCGGCAGCAATATGGAAGGTGCGCCACAGACCACACCCACAGGTTCCGTGCGTTCAATCGGCTCGCTCGTCTGTCGCATTTGTCATAATGCCGAAGATCCTGAGAGGTAAGAGTTTGTAAACTGTAAGAGGTTATCTTGTTACAAGAAAATACGAATTCGCGAGGTTTTAACACTAGTTGTCGAGCTTCTGACGAATACAGAAAGTTACGTTTTGGCAGATAGATACTCAGTACCAAATTTTGGCATAAAAATTTCTATATATAATATATCATTACGACAGATGAATACGAGTATAAATCTCTAATTTCTAGTTTTTGATTCCGTTAGAGTTTTAGCAAGCGAGGGTCTTTATTAACCAGAAAAGAGAAAGAATTTGTCAGCTATCATTGACGAGATGTTTGGAATTTGAGTGTCTGTGGCGAAAGAGGCACACTAGTTAAGATCCACATTATTTTACGACCCTCACCTACCTCTGAAAGTTTGAGAAACTTTTTGAAGAGGTCTTGGACTAAAAGTTATGAGATTTATATATACCTCATGTAATATATGCCCAATTTTTAAGCTATGCTTTCATTTCATTCTACAAGCACATGTGAGCGGGGAAAAGTTTATGTTGCGTCGGAAAAGTTTATGTAACCGAAAATGCCATTCGAATTATTCGCCGTATTTTGCTATTTAATTAAATTTACATAAAAGTGGCAATAATTAGTTGTTTATTTTTTTTCCCCTTCTTTTTACTTGTTGTTGCTTCCAAAAATTTATTCAAAATTTAATTTCGACAAAGCACACACGGGTGCACCCGGTGGCGCCTGCCGGGCGTGTTATCTCTGTGCAGGCGAGCGCTTATCAGCGATTTTTAATCAAATAGCATTAACGCATACTTACAACAAATACAACAACACATATGCAAATATATTAATTTATATGAAAGCATTTTAATTTGAAATATTTCTATGTGCAGATTAGTTTCGCCGTGTTTGTGCAAGGGATCGCTGACATATGTGCACATTCACTGCCTAGAGCGCTGGATTAGCACCTCGAGGAGCACCGTCTGCGAGCTTTGCCAATTCCAGTACAATACCGTGCAGACGCTGAGGTGAGTGTATGTGTGTGTGCGCGTTGTCGGGATAGATAACGATTCATAAGAGTGGTGGTGTGCAATTTGCGCGCTGTTTATCTTTGCATATCAATTCGGTAATTGGAAAATATTTGCGCTAATTAATGAATCGCGATTACAACAGCTGGTGAATTTGGGTGAATTCAACTGGGAGCAGCGCGATTATAAAGAACCGAAATATACACTCTTACATAAATATTGACAATGGCAGCTAAGCAATTAAAACATAATTCTATTTGCATTTTGCCGCATGCGGAATTCGAAAATATGCGCTCTAAACACAAGCGTTTGATTTGGCAGTTGGTTAAAGCTGCGCACACCGCGCCCTAGCACCTGGGTGTGTTCGCATTTTCAGAAAACATGTTTTTGTTATGCAAATTCGTGTGTATTCAAGACATACACTCTGGTTACATTTGACCCGGACTGGTCCATTTAACCTGCGTGCCCAAACCGAAACGGATTTTTTACTTTTTTTTTGAGATTGGTACAACCTTTTTTTAACATCGTGTGAATATCAATTTGGCAGTTCAATAGATTTGTTTTGCTTTGCAGAGTCAAGATGCGCCTTTATAAATGTATATGTAAGAAAGATGTGCGGAAAAACCAGGAACGCAAATACAAAAACTGCGTAGAAAGTAAAACAAAAGTCACAACATTGTACCGTTATAAGAGCGCCTGTTCAGATTTTTTTCCGTTGAATGCCGTGTAGTTGATAACATGTATGTGCACATTCCGAAATGCTTTTTCAGCTGCATGTGCTGCCTCAAACTACTCTTCGCCATATATCAGAGAGTAGGCTTCGACGCATTGACGCGCTATTCATTCCGCTGCAAATCCGGTCAAACGTAGCTACAATGTTTCGGTTAACATTAAACAGCGCAGAGGCGTGCGTCCTTTCACTTGTCCTGTGAAGCTTTGCATGCGGATAATACCCTCTCATGGCAACGCGTGATGCTTCACAATGTCTGCTGCTGTTGTTGTTATCTTATTTTTCGCATTTTCATTTTCACTGTAGTCACATTCGCTTTTGAGAGTGTGTGTGTGGCGCGGGTTGAAAACCATAATGTTAAAAGCGCGCGCGAGATGCCATTTCCTTTTAAATTAAACCCGTAAATGGCATTTAGGACGCGAGTGTTGCCAACACCGAAGTGGCAGAACGCGTGTGTGGCGCCGCAGCTGCAACAAAGGAAGTGAAAAATTTCAAAACACAACAACAATGAGTGCTTTATTTCACGCATACGCGTACGCATCTAACAGGCATTTGAGTCGAAAGTGGGGGCGTTGCCAGCCCAAATAATCAACAAGCGCCTTCCGTTTATCGAAGCGTTGTTAGAGTGTTCGGGTTTCCACACTTTGTTCGGTGCACAGATATAAGCGGTAGCGGGATATATAATATATGAAGGCCCTACTGGATATAGCGCCTAATCACCACTACTTCCAGCAACCCCCCCTCCTATAAACGAACCAATGGAGCATTTGGCCGGACGAGTGGCTGTTGAAAATGGGTATAGCGAAAGTAACGGTGTCAAATGAGCTGAAAAATTGTATTCCGCAACCACATATGGGCGCAAATTTGCGCGTGTGTGTGCTTGTATGTGTGCAAATAAATTGTGGCACATGTTGGCTTTTATTGTTAGCCAAATTTGTTGTTGCTGTGCTTAGTCATACAAAATGATCCACAATCGGCCAAATATGTGTGTAACAAGCAAATTCGGTTGCTTTATTCGCTCGATTTGCGGTTCACATTAGGAATACCGAATGCTCAGCGAGACGGGGATTGTCAGTGAACACTTTGATTTGCAAAGTCATAACTTATCAAGTTAACCGCCAACCAATCCAAGCCGTGTGTGTGTGTGTGTGTGTATGTTATAGGAGTTCTTTACATGTACTTATGTTAGGGTGGTTCAAAGCCAGTACTTTCGCAGTTGATTGCGGTGCGTATTAGCTTGGTACATAGCCCTTTCAGAAGAGAAGCGCAAAAAAATATTTAATTTACCAGGACCAACCTAATTTATATTTGTACTTTTGTAGGTTATGTAATGGCATATATTGTGTTGCTGTTATACTTTAGTTACTTTTAAATACACACACATATTCATATATGAATATATGTTTATAACGAATGATTATTGCTCTTTTGAGTATACAGCTCTCTCAGCTACAATTTTTCCTATGCCCCAGTTTATATGCTTAGCTTACTACGTTATATTCCAACCGCATTCATACACAGCTGAAATTGATTGTCTCAACGAAAAAACTTGCGTATGAAATTAAAAAAAAAAACATTGTTTTGCTTTTACGAATATGTTTGTTGATTGCATTTTTTTAAACATTTCATTATTCATGTCAAGCTTAATGATTTGATATTTTCTTAAAAATGTGTACATTTTTATAGTGTATTTATAAAAAGTAAATTAAATATTAAATAAAAAAATTGTAAATATTTAGAATTATTTTCGAGCAATGTCTAGCAGGAAACATAAATAAAAGAAAATCTCAACCATTTTTAAATTAATTTTTTCCGCGCCAGCCTTTGTGCAATGAAACCTGCAGATATGTATTTACCATTTGATCAAACTTGACCCGGAATGACATAAAAAATTATATTTTCACGTATTTTAGTACAAATTTGTACTATCGCTTGTTATATGCCTCGGCTGGAATGTCCTTCAGTGCCCGCAAACAGCTGTCAAACACACACTAATTGACATATGGAAGTATTTTTATTGTAATTGAATTGAATCTGGCCACATTTGTCAGTTAAAATTCTTCACAAATTTAACATACGATGTAATTTATACATATACATATTATACATTTTTGCCAATGTATTAAAGTTTTTATTACAGATACACGTGCTTTCAATCGCTGCGAATGTGGTATTCCCGTTCGATGAGCCGTCGCGCATTGCAGGTGAGTGTGAACCGACAGGCGTAAATAGATTAACTTTCATAGATTTTCTTTCACGCAAGCAGAAATACCGTGCTGATCAAGGCCACGATAATGTTTGTTATTTTTGTGTTCATATATTAAAGTGTGGATGAGCAAAACTGTCGATTATTTTTAATACTTGTATTATAAATAATATTTTAGTGATACTTTTTTTTCGCTCAAATTGCTCCTTTTCTTAGAATATTTAACTAAAGTAAAAATATAATTCTTTACCGAGTCATATCTGTGATATTATATTATGAAATGTTTCAAAGAAAGCTTTTCGACAAACATTTGCTATAATTCTAAACTTAGTCGATGTTAGCTAAACAGCTGACGCCTTCAGATCTCATTACACATATTTTGAATACACGTATTTAATAAATGTTTAAGTCCAAGTAGAGAGAGTAAATAAAAATTAATTTTTCATTAATTTTCGTTCTCAATCACTACAATTTTCTTTACAGGAGGATTGTCAAATGTTCTCGCTGCTTACACTGGTCGCCTTTGGCATAATCGGAACTTTACTCGTTGGTATACAATATTATTTCTTGCAAGGGCAATCCTGGCTACTGAGTCGCATGTGGACCAAAGGGTGGCTGATATTCTTTCTATTCACCACGGTAAGTAACAAAATTTTTCAGAAATTTCAGAAAAGTCGAAATAAATCAAATAACATATTTATTTTTTTGTTTCAGCTGACGATTTATTTCATAAATATTTATATGATCCTCAAGTCACAGTTGAGCCCCTGGTACAGGTAAGTGTGAAAAACGACAGATATAAATATTAATTAGTGCTAGTATTTGTGCGCCTCTTGGGCATCCAAAGCAACAGCTGCATGTTCCGTCATAATAACGATGATTTCATGAGAAAAATACATTTTTTATCTTTCGCTTTGTGTTGATGCGACATTGGTTTCACTATCCATTCTCAAACAAAATACTCTCATTGTAGAAGTCAGTCGACATTTCCATGAGATTATTTGTTTTATTTGCTTTGAGTGCATGCAACGCGATAACAGCACAGATTACAAGCTGCAGTCAGCGAGTGACAGAGGAGCGTATGCAAACAACAACAAATAAAGTCAGTAACAAAAACCATATATCGAAATTGCACAGATAAGCATGAACGAGAGTCAAATGATCAAGCTGACCGAATGCAAAGGATTAACTGTGACAAAAGCGACAAAAATTGTTGACTGATTTTTGTTAGCGTTTTTGTAGTTCGCTGCTTTAAAAGGCCCCAATTGGCCTTGAAGGTGCGGTTGTTGGTGCATTCGGGAGGGTGCCGTTTGCTCCAGCTGTTGTATACAGGGCTACACATGCCATCTGACAACAGTTATGTTCTCTGGTGGCAAGTTAATCTCACTAAAAGTTTACTCATATAAATACACATTTGTATATGGTATACTTGCATGTATGTACGTATGTGTGCTTATGTGTCAACACTTGCAGCATGGAGTTTCAAATTTTATTGTCAAAAATGGAGACAACAAGACTACAACAAGACATACCTACATGCAACAACAATGTTGTCACCGCTAACTGTAGTCATATGTACAATGTTTTTCCATGCACCCGTCCTTGTATTCATTTTCCATCTCCAGCATACCGTTATAATTTGTATGCAAACTCAATTAGTTGCAAGCTGCGAAATCATTTCCACGTCACCCTGGAGACCATAAAAATTTCACATGTTTGGTTTTTATTGTTTTTTCTGTGTGTGTGTGTGAAAACTTTATTGCTCCCTTCCAGGGTTGGCGCTTTGGCAATCTTTTTTAGAGCAGGGTATATTAGTTTTGCGATTGTTTGCTGCAAATTTGCGAACTTCATTTAATTGGAAATAAACACCCTACAAAATTTCCCAATTCATCCCATTAATGAAGTATAAGGACATAGAGTTTTTTATTTTATAATTCCTCCCGAAGTGAACTTTCCACCAACTCGAACATCAACTTGATCAATATTGACTTTTGAACGATGCTTCGCTAGTAGAGTCCAAGAAAAGCTTAGTCAGTATTTTTAAAATCTAGTCGAAAATTATTGTTTTATTGTTTTAATCTTCATAAAAACATCGTCACTCTTCAAGGGTTAATACTTTCTCTATTTGAGTTTTGACCCCTTTCCTTTGCTAACAAATTAAAATGAAACAAATATATTAAGTCCAGCCAGTGGCCTTGATCATATTCGACACTTACGGTAAAGGAACAACTTCTGCTACTTAGTAGTATGCTATATCACTCAACACACACTCATTTGGTACGCTCTATTTGCCTGAGCTCTAGGCGTAAACATGGTCTTCTAATTATCGTTGCGGATATTAGGCATATGTCACATAAAATGCCACACCTGTCACACCGTTAATGCACATTTTGCTCATTTCCTTCACGCTTCTCTTATACTCTCATTCTGGCGACTGCAGGTGGTGGCAATCGGCCCGTGACATCAAACTAATATTGGAAAACCGCAAGCCCTTCCAATTTCGCCCAAATCGACGGCTGCAGAACCATCAACTCGCACAGGAGCTCTCCGATATGGCTGACATGGCACAACAACAACAACATCAGGCATCAACAACTGCCATTGCACCGCAAACCTCACAAACGCACACAGCGCAGCAGCCCTACCACCCAAGCCCGCCCATGCCGCCAACCTTTGCTGCCATCAGCATACCGGTGCACATCGGCAATGCACAGGAGAGCTCGGAGCTGCCCGTATCTCTAAACGGCATTGAGTTGCAATGCAGCGGCGACAATGACAACTTCGTTGCCGACGCTGTTGACACATTGAGTTGTTGCGGCAAAGGGCCGCGGGCAGTGGCCAGCTGCAAGGGGGCAGCCGTGGCTGCAGCTGTGGCCTTTCACTGCAATAAACTGACAACGTCTGCCACAATTGAGATTCCGCTCGAAGGTTGCCTTTACGAATTCGAAACGATGCTTTAGATGTGAGATGTAAAAGTGACGAGCGGTCTGGGAAAGGCATATAATTGACAGTTAGTTAATATCGGAGATAATGCATGACGTGGTTTGTGGTGTGCAAGTTCGTGGTGAATATATGTGAACGTGTGCTTGTGAAGCTTCCATTTCGCGCTGTTTCTGTTTCTGTTTCTGGTACTCACTGGGTTTTCGACATTAGGGTGAGAACCGCGTAGATATAATGAAAGCACGACGCAATTATGAAAACATAGCATATTTGGAAAATCAAAAATTGGTATTTTTATCGCACAAGAAGACAACCAGCAGTCCACGTCTACAAAAAAATATTTGGATCAATTGAAAACCGTCGATTTAAGTTTCGTGTTTTATTCTCATTCTACATAGGTATATCTAGTCGCTATTTTTGTGATATGTATGTCTGATACGTATGTTTGTCTGTCCATAAAAATTACCGTGTTCAACTATAGCTTTAAAAAATCAAACTGAATAAATTAAATTTCATTGTTTAAAAAATTTAGTTTTGATATTTAAACTTTAGCATTATTCTCAGAGCTATTTATAACTATTACTAATTTGGCGCAGAAAACTAGTCCGAGTGGCAAAAGGTAGTAGCACAATCAATTAATTAAAAATACAGGTGATGAACGCAGGGGTATACACATGAACGAAAAATGTTGGTTCTTCGAAGAAATTATCAGCGCAGACATTTTGTAGACTTTTAACAAGATGCTATGGAAAGTACTCACTTGCAAACATTCATTTATACCCTCTGATCAAATTTGACCCGGAATTTTCCATTTAAGCTGAGCGAGTAAACCGAATCGAGAAACATATTTTCTTTACTAGAGAGAACCTTTTTTCATGTTCGTGTGAAGTTTGATTTCCAGCTGTATGTTTACGACACGAAGAGTTGATTTGCCAATTTTTACCATGCGAAAAAATTTAGCAACGAGTTTGCTTAAACCTAACGGAATCATTAAAAATGTCGCTGAAGTGTTTTGGAGTGTCTACTTTATCACGAACATAAGCATATGAGTGGCGCACAGCATGAAGTGTAGATCGTTGAGCCCATGCGAGCCGTCCATGCACCTCTGTAAATGACCAAAACATTGAGAAGTTAATGAAACAGTGCTTGAAAATGGTTGTATAAACATCATAGACATAGCGGAGAAACTCAACATATGTTATGGATGGACTGAACACATTTGGTTATTGTTTTGGATATGAAGCGTCGAGTAGGCGTGGCATAAGAGATGATCGGCAACGTAGCTAATGATTTCTTTTCATTAAAGGCATTATTGCTGGTGACGAGACGTAGGCTTATGAAGTTGACGTTGAATGTGTCCAAAAATCTAGCGAATGGTGCTACAAAAACTAGTTGAAACCAAAAACATTTTAAATCGCTGAAGACACTAAAGGCCATCCCAACCGAGGCTTATAACAAGCAATAATAAAGAGTTGTATTAAAATACGTGAAAACGTACTCTTATTTGTCAATCCGGGTCATTCTCAATCAGATATATGTATCGTGCAAGGCTTTTTAGTGTTATAGTTAAGAGATAAAAGTTCGCATAGACTTTTGAGCTCTGGCAACGATGAGAACGTATTCACTTGATTCGAATATAAAGCGGTCGACGAAAATACCAATTTAGGCGATTGACACGTTAATCAGTAAGTTTACAGTATCAAAAATAAATAGCTTGACTTAATCACCTTTACTGCTGTGACAATGCTTATTACTGCGTATATGATTGCAGCTTGCTAAGATATGTGCTGACTTTGAAGAGTCGCATAGCATATGAAATCACAATACAAAAAATAAATACTGAGGTACTTTTTTATTTTATTTTATTACCATTGTAATTCTTTAACTGTCCTCAATTGTGGAGTGCTTTACAAATTCGGCATTGTTTAAGGACACCCCCATGTAAATTAAACTAAGCTATTGTTCATTATGGCTACAAGCTGCCCTCAGGGAAGTAGACCCCCCGTCGTGAGCAAGTGAGACATGACGCGAAGCTGACAACTCGCCAATGTAAGAGCAATTCTTCTTTATTCATTGCCTTTCTTCTGTTTTGATAATAAATTTTCGAGTGAAACCTTAATTTATTGTCGAGCTTTTGTGTGCACGGAAAAAGTACCAAATTGCCGGCGTGGGAGTTGGTCAGCGGAGTGTTGCACAACAACATGCATAAAATAATAAAAAAAAAATATCAAATCAAAGCAATCGAGTAGTACATAATCGGAATACTGAGCCGGCCGGGACCGGCAGCACTCAAGTGGGAGGTTTAACATCTTGAGACCACAATAATGGAAAGTTATTAAATGCAAAATTGCTAAGTTAACGGTAATGTAATGCACTGCTTGTCTGCTGTAAGAAAGACGAAAAGACGTGAAAGGCATGCAAATCAAGGCAAGTAAGTAAAGAAGTCGGAGCATAATAATTAACTGTAACATTGGGAATATGCTGTTAATAAATATTACTAAAATAATTAGTTTAGGTAATTTTCTCGTAACGTCGCATAATAATTAGAAGATACAGCAAACTCTATGCTAACAGTGTTTAAATTATCTGGGCAGTTTCCAAATGCGCTGAAAACTCATATTCTCCTGCCGTTCTCCTGTTTGTAGTTTAGATGTCGATAGATGATAGATAGCCAATAGAGGAGATACTCCAGGGAAAAAAGACAAAATAGTAATTTACTAGAAGAATCAAGGTTTAGAATCAATAAACAAGTAAAACGTTGTGCTTTTTCGAGTTAATTTTGAAAGCAACATCAAAAGAAGATTGCTAAAGAAAAATTATTTGTATGGAACTCCGATCATCGTGTTTATGCTAAGAGAGCGCTACGGCTTTATTACGAGTCGAGGCACATTTCCATCAAATTTTAATTATATATAATATAAGCCAAACGGGAGAAGCCATCAATTATTCCACTTGTTACTCTTTTTCACAGTCGCCCATGGCTCGTCCAAAATGATCAGCAATTCATTAAAACAATTTCTATCTGAATTAATTAATTTGTAAGTGTCATCGATATTCATCAATTCTGGGAAGACACGACAACTAGCAATTCATCAATTGGAAATTTTTAATTTATATATAATATCGAATTGTGGAAATATTTGAACGAGAAATCGAGCGCCGTACGGCGACTTTAAGCAGCTTTTCTGCTTAAAATTAACCAGCTTATATTGTGAGTAGGAATTTGTGTTTGTGTGAGTGTTCACATATGTATACTTTTCCATTTATTTTGAACGCCTTGCCGCGTGCCCTTTACTTCGCTGACTCAGCGCTGGTGTTGAAAGGGTGCAAGTTAAGCATCGCTCATGCATCACATTTGATTACGACGCAGTCTTAATTTCTCAGCTTAAATCAACGTAATTCTTATCGCCACCGTCGCTTTCAATAGCACTTCAATCAATGTCCTGACTGCTTATCGCTTTTGCGTTCGACTTATCCATTTGGCCTGGTCGCTTCGCTGCCTGTTTACATTTTTTCTGCTCTCCCTTTAAGTGTATTCGCACACATGCATATATTTCATATTTATACTTTAGTCTGACTGCTACACTCGATGGCCAATGCAATGAATGTTCGCCATCATTACACTTTATCTCAGCCGGTCACGCATTTGGGCGCCAGTGTCCACGTAAAGTGCTCCGTAAGCTGCATATGTGTGTGTGTGTGTCTGATTTGAATAAAGCTCACACCTTCCAAGCTTTGTTGGTGATGCTCTTGATTCTCTCCTCTTGGTGGCGCGCCCTCGCCCAGTTGGCTATACGAGTGCCTCATGTCGGGCCTTATGGCTACGCTAATATGTCAACATCACAAACACTTTATGCTGCCCAGAAATTCAACAATACCAACACAAAATACAAATACGAGACGCATACATTTAAACGCATGAATTGTTGTTGGTCGCTCAATCTTCTATGCCTGCGTACGTCCAAATGGAGTGAAGTGAAATTGCTCTGGCAGCGCACGACAAATTGTCAACATGAAGATAAAGCAGAAGCAACAAAAGTGCATAAGAAGCATTGTTTCATTTCATGTGAACGTGTAACGGTAAAGCTGCTGCCCAGCTCTCACGCTCTCCTCCACTCTCTCACCCTTTATTTTCTTCGTTGTTTTACGATTTATTTTGTGTTCACCATGACCGGGAGCGATGTTCGAATTAACGACAGGATCGACAACAACTGCCCAAAATGACTAATTTATGAACCATCAATCACGTTGCATGCCATTTGCTATGCAGCAGACGCTCGCACGCACTTACACATACACTTCTGTTTTTTTTTTTTTTGGTGGCAGCAATAACCCCGCTTTCGCTAAACCAGTTGCAGACTACTCCGAAGCTAGGCCGGCAGGCAAGCTTAACTCATCAGTACAATATCTAATACAAGCCCTGCTGATTAACGCAAAACAAAGTCTTTTGGAGAGAAAGCTTCGTTGAATTATTGCTCAGTTCATCCGGTCTCCATAGCTGAGATAGTTGGCACCTCAAGGCACAGCACGGAGGGATAAATGAGTTTTATATTTACACAGCGGCAAAGCAACTGCTCTTAATTGTACTAGTTATAGACTAAACAGTAACTGACGGATTGGAGCTTTTCGTGGATAAAATCTTCGTCTTCCAGTTCACCTACACATATTTACATGTGTACATATTATATATGTGTGTGTAGGTATGTGTAAATGTGAACTTGCAAACGCATTTATTTTAGCAACATGGACATATTAACATATTTTTTTATTGTTGTTGCGTGGGGATTTTGTGTAAGAGAATGTGATTTACAGCATAGTAGGCAAAACGGCGTGCGCTTAAGATGTTTAAAAACCTTGTTCTTTCTTCTTTCTTTTTAATAATGCAAACTTCGCTATCGAATAAGTCTAAAGTGGGGTTGATTTATCGTGAGCCATAGATTTAGCGATTTTACTTTGTCAAAGTGATATTTTATAGTGTTTTTGAAGTAGAAGCGCAGAAAAGCCACCGCCAGGGGTGTAAGTTTTTGGAACAAATGAGGTTCACAGGTGTAGGCGAATGGTTTTTGCTGTGCAAATATAAGCTTGGTAATCTTTAAGAAGCAGAATTTTATACCCAAAACCTAAAAGCTAATTGATTTCTCGGAAAAAATATCATTGCAAGATTAAAAGTTAACTGAAGATAATACGAAATTCCGACGTAGTTTAGTCACCTACTAATTTCATGAAAATCGAAAAAACTAGTGAAACTTATTTTTAATTAAAAAGCTCAATTACTTTAAGGGCGTTTTTGGAAGGGTTTGTTATTCGTTCTCCTCAAAGCAGGTAAGTCTCCATTAAAGCTCTTCAATCCTCCCAAAAGTCGCTTTTGTTGTAGCTACATTAAGCTTTCCTAAATATTTTTGGAAAATGCTGCTCCGAATCGCTGCTGTATATCATAGATCCTTTGATTGCACTTTCAAAAATTCGGACGTATCTTTCGGTTCTCTTTGAAAGCTCAAGTAAGTTTAGATTAAATAATGGCCTTGCGAAATGACTTAGCTTAAGTAAGCTTTTCTAAACTCCTATTATATACTAGACTAGAAAAACAGAACAATGGATCTAAAACTTTACTTAACCAAACTAGATCAAACGTGATCTTCAGATCATTCAAAATATATTTACGAATTCAAAAGTCTAACTCACAGAGATACTTACATCTTTATCGCCCAATCGCTCGACGCGACAATGCAGGAAACCCGTCTGACCGACCGTCACCGTCAAATTCCGCGGCACATCGAAGTCGAAGTAGGGCAGTAGATTCGCTGGCGAGACCGTCGTCGTCGAAGTTGTAGTCGAGTAGGAGCTCAACGACTCTGAAAAATAAACAAAGAAAATACAAAATTTATATATAATACCTTAATAACAACAAAGGTGTGAAATTAAATCAGAAAAAGTGGGCAATTGAGCGTTGAGGCAAAACTTTCCACGTTCTCCAGAGCGTAACCACGATTGCCCAACTCTTAGAAGACTGAATTATTTTCCACAATTTCATTTCCATGTGTTCGGCCTCATTTGTGAACATTAAAGCTGCAAAGTTTTATATGCTTTTTATTGTTATGTATAATTGTATCTTTTTTCACTTTTATTGCCTTTTATTTGGCGCCATGATTCATGCTAAGCCTGCGCCATGCCACAAATGTGTCGACAGCGGCAGCGGACAAATCACCAAAATAAATAACGAAAATCATTATAAAGACTTGACGAAAAAATCCTTTTTGCGCCGCAAGGCAGATTTGCTGTTTTACAAAGTGCCACAAAACAGTTAACTTGCCACATGCCACACATGCACATGTACACGCCGCAACGAAGCTTTAATGCTTAGTACAATTCAAAAAAAAAAACTTTTGTGTTTTCAATTGCTTTGTTGACGGGAAGGATGTTTTTAACACCAAAGAAGTGCTGTCTTTGTTTGATTATAATTTCATGCGGCTTTCTGTATTTCTTTCCGCTCCTCCTCAGCTTACCGCCTGAGTTGTTTGACAAGGCAATGGAAGGCACAAACTCACACAGCCACCGAGGCGGATACGCAATCGAATGGCGCATAAAGGCAGCCAGATAAGGAGACAACACAAAAAAAAAAACATTTAACGGTAAAATGTGTGTAATTGTGTATGTGTGTGTGCCTGAAACCGAGTACAGCCGACTGCTTTGAGGTTTTGATTTTTGTAAATTTTTACGGATTTCCGTGGAAACGCGAAAAATATATGCGTTTGACGAGTGTTGCTGTAGGCGTGGAACATGCGCGCTAAAAGTTTCATCATTGTTCTAGCGCAGCCGCCCATCTGCACACCGTCTTTCGTGCAACTTAAGCCCGACAAATATTTTTACTTTTTTTTGCAGTTTTCCTTTTTCTTTTCCTCTTGTGCACGTGTGGCTAAAAGGATTTTGTAGTGGCAATCAACAAGAGTGATGAATTTACTAAATGCAATCCTGTATTCTTTGAAAACAACTACTGTAAAGGGGTATCGCGCGTGGTTCAAGCGTGTTTACGTGTGCCGACAGTTTTTTGAATTCTTAACGAAAAATTTCTCAGTGAACAAAACGACTGAACTTTGCATGATAGCTTAGTAAATGGTTTTCTCTTTCTATTTATACGTATACTATATTTATAAAAGCACTAATCCAGGGCAGTCATGGAATTTTGAACCTTTTAAATTTTTATAGACTCATCACGCAATATAAGTGTGAGCAAAATAATACGATCTTAAGAAGAATATTGTTACTCGAGTTACACTGACAGCCCAAATTCTCCTCTTGTTATAAGCTGCATCTAATGACTCTTGAAGGAGCGAATGTCAAACTTTGACGGAGTTTAGATAAACGTTTCGAAATCTCTAACATTATCTCAACGGAAATTTGTAAAAAATATAGCTCAAATCTCTTGATAAAAACTTTATAAGAATTTAGGTTAAAATCGGTTAAAGTATCTACACACAAAACTGAGCTTCTGCGAATATCAATCGTCTAAAAACCAATAGTTAGCGGCAGTCTAATGCCGAACGAAAAAGATTCCAAAACTAAGATTACTCGAGGTGGTCTATTATTATTATTCTCTGTCAAAAATAGGTTCCTGAAGATGCATTCATCCTCCAAAAACAAGCAAAATTCTCGTCTAAATTCGCAGTAAAATAGAGAAACTGTTAACCAATTTTTAGTGGCCTCACTTAATACGTACGCTGACATTTTATATGCCACCTACTGACAATTCTTCTTTAATATGGAATATCCATTAGATTATACTTGTAATTCATGGTAAAAGCTAGAAGTATCTTCCAAGTACTTCCGAGAGTCGCTGAACTTCAAGAGAAATGTGAAACGCCGCTTTTATGCTCGTAAAATAAGGCACCACTTTAGTTAGGCGTCACTTATGGCAGAAGCACAAAGCCAAACAATTAACAATGCAAAGAAGAAATGGAAATACAATCGTAAACTCCTAAGCCCCTGAAAATCAATAAAAAGTAACCCGAAATTACGTAAGTAATCATAAATATAAAAGAACCATAAACATATACACATATGTATATATGTAAACAAGCAGTAGTTAATACTCGGCTAGTAGTGAAAATATTTGCACAGTGTGAACAAGAAAAACCACTGTATGTAGCAATAAATTCGTGGCGACACAAGCTCTTCGAGTGTTTCATAAACATTTTTAAGAAAATGGTGGAATTTGCATATGCCGTCTATTGTGCGGTAGAGATTTAGAATACACAATACATATGGACATTTCACATCAACCTTATATTCATAGCTCTATAAAACATAAATATGCACTTTAGTTTCTTCTACTTGTTCTGCTATTGGATATATTGAAGTGGCGAAATTTGTGAATTGTTTACAGTTACATAACAAGTTCAGTTTTGGATGAGTACGAGCACTTTCAGATGAGGCACACTTATAGTTTTAAAAAAAGGGCAGTCTCTTTCTATACTAACATCACGAAGCGTCACGATGTGACGCCGTCTGTGCTTTTCAATTCTCCGAATTACATTGAAGTATCGTTTTGGCGCACCCTACTGCATGTTGTCATCGTCTATGTCGAATCACATTACTTGTAGAAGCAAAGAAAGTAGAAGAGATGAAATGTCATTTACATTGCTATGTAATTTATAGTTTCTTAAGAGTTCTGAGAGATTAATTATAACTTATAAATTAATTACAGTTTATATTTACAGAGTTGTAAATATTTATATGTATGTAGCTGCCTTTCAGGTCAGATCAGTTCAAATTTGTTTGGTTTGCTGCCGATTGCAAACGCAACATGATTGAAATTTCGTTTTTTTTTTTGTTTTTTTTTTTTTTGTACGCTAAGGTCTTATCGGACCACTCTCATTTATCCAAACTTTTTACCTTTCTCTAAAAAAACACTATCGCTTTCCGTTATTTGTTCCAGTTTCCAGCCAACTGCTGGAGCACGTCAGAGCGCGCATTTCTCCACGGTAGTCACGATCATAAAATAAATTTCGACAAAGTGGATGCTATTTATTTATCTCTCAAAAAAAAAAAAGAAACAAACACATAAGCAACTAAAAAACAACAGAGGAACCATTTTTCCCCACCTAAAATGTAGGAACACTTTTTTCATACTCCCTTTTAAAGCAAACTGACAAACTTTTCGCCACTCAAAGTCGAACTTCCTTGTGCTGTTGTTGCGGTATGTTAGACTGCGATATTTTCATTATTGTTGCGCAAAAATTGGCGTGAAATCTTGGTCACGTACGAAATTGGCATAAACTTAAAATTAGCTTCCTACATAAATCTGATGAACATTGATAAACAATACTCGTAAATACGTGGCCTTCGCGACTCAAACAGCAAACGAAGGAGCGCACCGAGGGAATATGTTTGGCGGAGTAACGTGGAAAGCTTATCGAAAGCAGAGTGTTGTGCATGAAAGTTCTTCCACGAAGCGCTCCCATGCTTCCATACAAACATATGTACAATGCGAAAGGAATTTGTCGAAATTTTCTCATTCTGGCATATTACCTTCACGTTCGACACACATATTAACGGTTGTGCTGCGATTTTGAGAAAGCAAATGTTTCGTTATGTTTTCGTAATTTAAATGCTGTCACGTAACATGCCACGCATTAAGTTAAACGTGAACTCAGTAAATAAATATAGCCTTATTTAGGGAATGAGAAGAGCAGTTTGTGCTATAATACAATTTTCCATTAAGTATATTCGCTTATCTAAAGCGCCTGTAGGGCTTGTCGTGTGATATCTTTACTTTAAAAAGCTCTGATCTCTTAAATATGAGTATTGTTTGTAAAAAAACCTATAAACGCTTTGGAGAAACAATATTGTGATATTTAATTTTCATGGTGTTAAGCTGTTCTTTGTGTTTGTATTACTATCTGATCGGATGTGCACCCGACTCTACATAGTCAGAAAATAAATAATATAAAATAATAATTATTTGCCTTCTATTGATGTCTTTTTGATAAAAATTTTAATATTATATGGGTTTAGTTCTAAAATCGGGCCTCGGTCCGAATTAGCGCAAGCTTTTGTCTTCTAAAACTTCCTTATACTCGAAGAACGAAACTCTATGTTCGAGCAAAGAAAAACAGTTTTTTGCTAAACCACATTTACCTCCAAAATACTATGTTATATGCTTGTAAGTCTAGTCTATATGTATACCATATATGTGCGATGTTCTAAACAAATTCAAACACAAACAATATCATAGAAAAATATGATTTTTCAAAAGTTTTGCATTTGCTCATAAATCACGTTTTAGAAGCTAGCTATCAGAAACCAAAAAGATAAGCTAACTAATAATATTCTCAACCCAACACACAATTTTAATATTTCATTGAGTCTTTAGTTTATCACACTCTCTCCCACTAGGCAGTCACAAAAGCGCAGGCGACAACTTGACACGTTGCCAGAGAAATGAAGAAGCACCAAGACACTGCAGTGTACTCGCAAAGTGAAAGTTGTCAAGTGATGAAAGCAAAATGGATAGCTGATAGGAAGGGTTAGAACAATGCACTGAAATGGCAAAAACAAAGAGTACGTCACAAAATCAAACACAAATCCAATGCGATTATGTAATACGATGATATGCAAATATGAACATAAAATAATAATAATAGATCAAAATGACACTCAGCTATGGAGGATATAATAGTGAATGGAGAGGATAAAGAGGAGGAGTGCAGTGACTGCATTTTTAGAAATGTCACAGTAGAAACTGCATAGCATATGCTTATACATATTTGCCAAAACTTCTAGCTATATGGAGGAGTGCATTTGTAAAAATATGTGGGGAAATGTGAAATTAATTACCAGACGGGAAACATATCAA